ACGTACAGCCCAAGTACGTGACCTGTGTAACGGGGTGTAAGTGGCCTGCCGGGGACGATGGGACTTCCACGCACTGGCCTTTGTCAGCACGCAGACAGAAACCACGGGCACTGATTATAAACAGCCTGGAGTCCGAAGTCATAGCTACTGACTTGCCTTGAACAAATTTAACTTGAGGCGAATTCTTTTCTTGTCTATGCCTAAGTAGAACTTTCCCCAACTGTAAGGCACATTTATCTGGGTTTGTAAGGGGTGACGAGAAGGTGGAGGTGTGATTCTTCCATAAGAAGTACGTTTATAAACTGAGTAAAAAGAAGTCAGTGTCAGGTTTTATGAGAAGGCGTGAAACTGGGAAAGGCCTCTGAGGCTAAGGCATGAGCTCGACCATCGGTGATACCAGATCAATGAACACAGGACAAATGCATGGGTACAGACACAGAGTACCTCGACTCAGGGACAGAGTCAAGTGCAGTGTCCACCTTCACTATTGACCTGATGGGGAAATTCGATTTGGTTTGAAATCAATTCAGTTCATGACTGGAGTCAGGGAGAGAATTAAGCTCCTGAACGTAGGTCCCACCGTACTGCTGTGTATTAGCAGTGAGCACATGAAAACCAAAACTTAAAAAATTATACAGGTGAAGTATTTAGGCGTACACTTAACCTTAGCAGTGTTTCTGTGGTGGACATTTGAAGCACTGAGGAGTGAAATCAGAGGTGTTCTGTGTTCCTGGACTGGCAGGGCTGAAGCAGCAGCAAAAGCAGTTATCCTTAAGAGGCCTTGTGGGGCCAGGGCCTTTCCTGTGGAAAACCATGTCAAACACAAAAAGGGGTGCGACAGCTTCTAGTGAGAGGCATGGGGTCATAGGTGGCCTGTTTCAGAGGTGGCTGGGTCTAGAAGGTGTGAGGCTGGGGTTAAGGGTGAGTGATTGTGCTGTCGGTCCACTGACTGCTTGGTTGTCACCCTAATCCCAGTAGCCTAGATAGAGTGTAAAAAGGGCAGAAAGAAATGGCTAATCTCCCTTGCTGCTTTTTCTGGCTTCTGCCATTATTGTTTCTCCTCTGTAATGCCCAACTGTGAGGCCACCCTGCACTGGAGCTGCTAATCGTGGACTGAAACCTCCACAAACTGTGAGCTAAATAAACCTTTCCCCCTTTAACTTTGGGTGTCGGGTATTTTGCCTGACCAAAAAGAAAAGTAACTAAGACACAGGCTTGTTATAAAATTTATTTGTGAAAACACAGGCCCTTAAAATAATCTTGAAACAGAAGAATAACATCAACAGTCTCAACTTACACATAGGCCTTCCATATTGACACAGTGATCCAGATGCTATGATACTGGAAGGCAGATTACAAGTAAAAGGAACAGGAGACAGACTGCGGAAATGGACTCACGGGTATGCCCTCAAAGGTCCAGATTCTCCTCAAAAGTCCAGAGTGGTTAGAGGAGGAAAGATGGGCATCTTTGGAAGATGCCAAACCACTTGGGCCTCCACAGATGAAAAATGTTCGCAACACAAATACAAGGCAAAGCAAAAATATTTCCCACCTTAGAAAATAAAATTCAAAACAGACTGTGAATTTAAGGAAATCTATGAATCAAGTCCAAGGCTTACAAGTTTTGGATTTGACAGCAGACACGGGAGCCATGCAGGGAATAAAGGATGCACCGAGTCACGTAATAACACAAAGCTCTCACTCTTCAGAGATCCCCACAGAAGGACGAGAAGTCAGGCCACCCGGCGGGAGCCCATGTGGGAGCCACATACCCAGCAAAGACTGCATACAGATGTCTCCAAAATTTAACACTAGAAACTGATTTATTCCCACTAGAAAATGGACGAAGACATGAAGATATTTCAAAAGAGAGGTGATAGAGATGTCAAGCAAGCACATGAAGGGCGTCTTTGGCCTCATTAGCCCTGAGGGAAATGCAGATTAAATCCCTGATAGGGTAGTTATCACCTCGCACTCCACAGAATGACCAATGCAGAAACAGATGCTGGCAAATCCTGGTGACCACGGGAAGGAACTTACCACTCTCCAGTTGCTGGTGGGAATGTAAACTCCCCAGAGGTGGACAGTGCTTCTGAAACTAATGGTGCTGATGTCCCCTAGCCCAGGAGGCACAGGTACATTTAGACCCCCTGTGGGTGGACCCTAGGGGTGGAAAGCTGCCCCTAACCAGAAAGAGGCAAGAGGTCCTCCCAAGGCTGAGCAGTCAGACTACAGCTTTTAGAAAGAATATGGACATAAACAGACCAAGTACAACATCATGAAAGAAATTCATCCTAAATCCTGATAGATTTGTGTCAGTATTCTTACAATTAACTTTTATCTCTTTCCTTTTCACTTTGCTTTCTTGGGACCTCTTAACTAACTGATGGAAAGAGGAAATATGAGATGTCAGGATTTCATGGTGACCCAGGGAGCACAGTTTCGTAGAAATCAGAGGGAGCAGGGCCCAGCTGACTCCCGTTCTGCAGAGCCTCCTCCTCCATCTCTGTCCTCCTCCTATCCTCTTCCTCCTCCTCCCATCCTCCTCTTCTCTACCTCTCTCTCTCCCTTCTTCCCTCCCTCCCTTTCTTCCTTCCTTCTCTGTCTCGCTGTCTACAAATCCACACATTCAATACACTTTGAGTGCGCCTATGGTCAAGTGACACTGTTCACATCCATTAGGACTTTAAAGCACTGTGTTACTTTACAAACACAGAAATACATTTTTCCTAGAATTTGTCTCAAGGAGAAAGAAAACTGATCATTCTTAAATAATTGATCCACATTTCTTCCAAGAGAAAGGATGCAAAGCAGTTAGTCAGGAGTAAAAGTAAATAGCAGGAAGACCAGTGTGTGACTGGCCTGGATGACACTGTATTACTGAGTTTTCCTTTCAATCACTGATGCAGCCAGACATCCACGGTCAGGCATCTTCTTCTTGCTGACGTAAAGATGTCACTCTACAGAGCTGACAGCAGTTTCACCCCTTGCTGCAGTGCCACATACCAGATCCTGTGGTGTGATTTCCCCTTCTCATGCCTGGATGCCTGAGGGGCTGACATGGGGTCGCTGCTGAATGCTCTGGGCACCCTGACCTTCCTCCTGCCCCACCCAGGGGTCCCCAAGACTGTGACCTCAGCTTTCTCCTTCCCCCCGCACCAAGTGTCTGGAGCAGCATCGCCTGGGCACGGTGACCCTGAGCCCTGGGCGCCCTCCCCGCCCTGACCCGGTGCAGCAGGAAGGGTCCCCTGCAGATAAGGGCCAAGGCCAAGGGACAGAGGTCCTCACACCCTGCTCCTGGGCACCTGCCAGCTCTCAGCCCAACGCAGGGCGCCCCACAGAGTCTCCTCATCTCATGTCTGTGGTCTCCTCCCTTCTGTCCCTCGGCCTGAAACACGCTCTCCGTGGCTTTGGTGACTTTTGCCTGCTTTCTTCCACTCGCCCACTCCACGCTGAACCCTGCTTCTTCCTTCAGCCCTGACACATGAGAGCCTCGCGGCAAGCTCGCCCACACTTGGTTTCACCCTCTGCGTCCCCGTGGGTGCAGACTCTGTTTTCTCTGCCCTTCTGAATTCCTAGCACTTGTGCCTGACCCTTCTGCAGCCTCTGTTACACTCTTAACAAGTAGTTTTTAAGTTCAGCTTGGCTGAAGGATAACATGAGGCTTCTTTTCCGAGAAAGGTTCCTGTGGTGGAGCCCCCTACACCCACCTTCCCTAACAGAAATTCACAAGGCCCCGAGAGCACCTGTCTTGCCTCCTCCCGGTTCCAGGAGCAGCCCTGCCCCTGCCCTCTCATCTCTCCCCCTGCTCTCTTCCTCTCTCCTCACGGGCCCGGCCCCCCCCCTTTCCCACAGACCTTTCTCTGGGGGACCTGGGAACCTCCTCCTGACCCTACGGTGCCTCTTCTCCATCTCTCGGCCTTCAGGGCCCCTGCCCTGCCCAGAACTCTTTGCAGACACTCGAAACGCACCCAAGACCCCGTTTGCTGGCGGGCCCCCCCCCCCAGGTGCCCTCCCTCCTGCTGCCCGCTGCTCCAGGGACACCCTGTGTGCCAGTGCTCGCTTGGCGACTTCATACTCCTGGGTCAGCTCGGGACAGAAGCCCTTCTCTTCATTGCGTTTGTTCCTCAGCCACTTTTGGGCGCTGACCTCTCCCTGAAGACTTTAGCTTCCCATCATTTACACTTTTATTTTATCAGTGCATGCCTGCAGCACATGATGCTCCCTTTCCTGGTGGAGAGCGGGTGCACGTGCACTGCACACCTTAATTCTGCCTTCAACCGCTTCCACTCCACACCCTCCATCTCTTGGTCCCCATAGTCATCTGCCAAAGATCCGGCCCTTGTGTCCTGTATCTGTCTTTATTTTACTCTATAATTTACTCGTGCTCTGAGCTTCTCACACAAGGAAACCACGTGGTACATAAAGCCGCATCTGACTGACTTACTGCTCTGTGTTGCTCTGTGTCAGCACTGGCTCAGGGTCCTCCACTTTCCCTGTCTCCATCCCCTGGTACATGGTCTTGCCATTGTTGGGTTCCAGAGAGACCCCCTTTATCTCTCCATCCTCAGCTGATGGCATGAGCTGTTTGGATTGATGATTCCTCCATATTTGCAGAACAAAAGGAATAAACCCTGAGTTAATCCACTGCTCCATAACTAAAAGGAACTGACAAGTGGAGAGGGCAAATTGGTGCCAATTTAGCATCTCCTGTGCAGCCGCACTGTCCAGGACAGTTTCTCCCAAGTTTCTGTGTGCAGACGAGAAGGGCCTGTAACCCCTGCAGCTGAAGTGAGAGCCGTGTCACACCGTGCAACTGTGTTCTGGGACAATAAGAGCTGTGTTTGTCCCTTGCAGAAACTCCATGGTGTGCTGTTAGGTTCTAAAAGCTTCACAAGCAGCAGGCACGCAGTGTCCAGGCAGCTCCACCTGGAGGAGCCCAACCGTGGCTGGAGTGACCTCGGCCCCCGGAATCCATAAACATGTGTTTATCCTCACAGGTATCTGAGCCAGGCCCCGAGGGCAGACACGGCCACGGCCGAGCGCATGCTGAACAGGGAGAGATTCGTGGCCCTGAAACAAGCCCTGGCTGGCATCGGCTTCAGCAACCTGGTGAGTCACCTCAGTGCTTTGCTGAGAAAACCAACCCTGGGCCACTGAGTAAAAGGCACTCATTCCACAGCCCTTCCCTGGGCTGGGGGTTCAGCTCTGTGGCAGAGCACCTGCATAGCAAGTGTGAAGTCCTGAGTTCAATTCCCGGTACCCCAGAAAAGAAAAAGAGCTGTTCCAACACCCTGATACATCCAGATGTTATTGGAGACGTTGGTGACTCAGCGTAAGATGAGCCCCCGTCCCTCCTCTGGACCCCACAGCCTAGAGGGGCAGGAAAGAAATGGGGGGGAGGCAGGAGATGTGGAGGATAAGAGGCAGAGGAATAAGAGCACACCGCAGGGCGGGCCTGCAGAGGGACAGGGAGGGGTGTGGTTTTCACAGAAGCCCAGAGGATGTCCAGCGCTGGCTAAACAGCTCTAGGGGCCATGAAAATGGACAGCGAGTATTTAAATTTGAAAACGTTCCCCAGTAAAAACATGCTAACATTGCTCCCGCAAAACACACTCCTTGCCTGACACACTGAGCTTCCCAAAGCAGCTCCGGAGGAGTCCTCTTTCCTGAGTGTTTTCACATCACATGATCAGAAACATGGTGACCACTGCTGTCCAGTGCTGTCCACAGAAATGCAGGCTTGAAACACAGGATGCCGTGTCCCTGTCCACCTTAGTCACCAGACCTGGCACCGTGTGACTCCCGGTTCCTCCCCATGGTCAAAATGACCATGAAGGTGGATGTGTTGAATGGATTCAGGACGGTGCAGCTGAAGCCCTCAGGAAGGACTCCAAAGTCGCTTCAGAAAGTGTCGGAAGGACAAATGTGTGCACAGTGGGGCAGGGGCTGAGGCTGAACTGACCAAACTCACTAGAAAACGAGGGCCCCCAGAAACTGGCTGCTTAAAATCACTTTAAAAATGAACCTAATCACTTCATTAGTATGTCTTCTTAAACAATAGGAAACGATGTCATTACTCTTAGTTTTTATTTTTTTAGTACTGGGAGTCGAACCCATGACCCTGCACTTGCCAGGCAGGCTCTGTGCCCCTGAGCTACATCCCCAGCCCTGTTCTTTACTCCTAAAGAATTGCCAGATACCCGCAAGCCTTGCAAAGCTGAACAGTTCCACAGAAAAGCCTTGGGCACGGCTGCGTGGTGGTGCCATCTCTGATGTTGGTCACGGTCCTGACCGATGCCCCGCGAGCCCTGCTGCCAGTCCCGTGCCACTCCTGGGACTTGGCATGTGGCTCACAAAGCCACAGAAATAAAATTTTAAAATTTTAATATATTTTTTCTAGTTAATTGAACCTTGAATAGCTGTTTGTGTTTCATGGCTGCTGAACTGCACAGGTCCGGGGAGTCAGAAACAAGAAGTGGTCCAGCCTTGGGAGAGACACACGCATCTCTCTTCCCTGCTGTCACTGTGCCCACTTCTACTGCACTTCGGTAGTAACCAAGTCCTCCACAGCAATGGGCTTGCCACAGTGGGGACCGCTGAGAAACCAGGAGGACACAAGCCCAGTCTCCGTCACAGGCGTGAACAGTGTGGGCTTGGCCAGGTTTCCTACTGCGCCCAATTGTGTGGGAAGGGGTGGTGCTGAGGGCTGAGATGGGACATGGCCCAGGGGAGAGGTCAGGAAGGGACCACCCTACATGAAGTCACTCCGCACACTTGGTCTGGTCCTGCTTCACTCTGTTCAGAGACCAGTTTTCTGTTTGCTGTTTGAGACAGGGTTTCCCTGTGTAGCCCAGGCCAGCCTTGAGCTGGAAGTGATCCTCCTGCCTCAGTCTCTGAGTGTGGGGGTTACAGAATGTATACCATGCCTGATTTTCAGTGGGATTTTTATTTTCTTTTTATTGGAGACTGGAATTCTTAAGCTTGGTCAGACAGCAGGTTCCTTCTGCTCCAATTATCCAGTCTCTAGTTCTGTCCTTTCCTCACCCCTGCCCACTCGCACAGTTTCATCTTTGTACCCACTGTTGTCAAAGTTTTCCTGAGTTTATTATTTTCCATTATCTCAGTTATTTTCTAGACATTGCTACACAATACCTGACACAGTTCTGAAGAAGAGAGGTTTATTTGACACACTGTCTGGAAAGGTTTCAGTCTGTGCTTGGCTGGCTCCAAAGCAGGGCAGCATGCAGAGGGCATCACAGAGGAGAAACAACCTGTGGCATGGTGGACAGGAAGCAGAGAGAGATCAAGGGAGGAGGAGGGACAGAGACCCTTCCAGGCCACACCCCAGAGACCGCCTCCTCCACAGGCTCCACCTCCCAGTATCACCTTCAGCTATAAACTCACTGGTGGACCAGTCTGCTCTAAGGGTGACACACCCATGATCCCAGCAACTCCTAACCCCACCTAGGAGCACAAGAGGCTTTGGGGGACACCTAGACACAAACCTCTACCCCTGAAGCTTCTAGCTTCTTACAGGAAATGGGAAAAAAGAAGCAGAGAACCATTCTACCAAAGCCCAGCCACTTGGAAACAGGGCTTTGAAAATCCAGGATTGATGTTCAAGGCAGAGCAAGCAAAATACACTGCTGCCGGGGCTGGGGATTTAGCTCAGCGGCATAAGTACCTGCCTTGCGAGCAGGCGGTCGTGAGTTCGATCCCTGGTACCGATAAAAACGAAAAAGACCAAAAAAAAAAAAAAAAATACACTGCTGCCTGAGGGAACTAACAGAGTTCCCATGACAAGTTAGCTGTGACCTGCTGGAGAAGACAGTGAAGCTGGGGAATGTGGTCTTCACATGAGCCTGTAAGGTGGCCCAGGGGGAGGGATAGATTCAATCTATTGCAACTCACAGAAAGGAACCTCTGGGCAGGTGGGGGCCTTGAGCCAAACCCATCAGGAAGGGAATTGCAGACCAAGTAGTTCAGTCACCAAAAAGCATCGACCTCAGCCCAACCCTGTTGTGAGGTGAGATGGCAGGGGATAGCTGCAATGACAGACAGCACCAGCCTTGCTGCACAGGAGGGCTGCAAGTCCCCTGCTGTGGGCTCCATCACACTGGGTCATGTGTCTGCCTCTGTCACTCATTGTGTGACCCCAGAGGATGGACAAATTCTGCTTGTCCATCTGTCTTACTGATACAACATATTTAATGAAGAGCTTTGGGAGTTACCAAGAAAAAGGGTGTCAGGCAACTTAAGAGACTGAGAACCTGCTATTTTATAAAGCAAGAGCGAACTAAATAAGAAACACTGATTTATGATCTAGGGATTTCACAAGCATAGTTTTGCACAATGCCAAGATCATAGACTGTTATACCTGGAACTCCTTAGTGATGGTCCTCCAAAGTGCTGTCTTATAAAAGATGACAAAATCAAGCTGGCTTTGGTGGAGAATGTCTGTCATCCTTGCACTCTGGGAGGCTGAGACAGGAGGATCACAAGTTCAAGGCCAACTGGGCACCTTGGCAAATTAGCAAGAGCCTGTTTCCAAGTAAATATGGGATGTGGCTCAGTGTAAAGGCTCTGGGTTCAACTCCTACTGCTACACATACACTCACACACACACACACATATACTCACAGATATACACACACACATACACACACATATACACACATGATGATAAAATCATGCTGATAAAATCTTATGAAAACAAGAGATGATGGGAGCCCAAGGCTCTGCTGTTGGGGTGCTAATGAGCCAAGTCGCAGTGACCCTAAAGCCTTACCTACATAGATGTGGCCAGCGCCTTCCCCTAGATCTCAGGTTAGTGCACTGGGAACTAACGGATGCCATCACTGGTGCTCTGGAAGCATCAGCCTGCGTCACTCTTTGATACTGGAGAGAGGCAGCCTTTCACAGTCAGCTCTTTCTTGATTTTTCACTCTCGCCGGGAAATGTCCTCCCAAAAGCAAACTGCAGGTCTGCATCCAGGGAGGGAGTGGTGGCTCTTGGGGCCTCTCCCTGGGAGTCTCCTCCCCCTCCCTGCACCCCAGTGGGCTACCGAGTTTCCCTGTGTGTCTCTGGCATCCTGGTCTTCATCTAGTCAGAAGTGGGGCGCTGTGCAGTTCTCCTCAGCTCTTATCCGGCGGTGATGACTCGGGAGGGGCTGTGATAGAGGCTCAGGAAGAAAACGGGCTCAGCACTGTGTGGTCAGCCCTCCTGCCTCTGCTGTTTGGGACTGGACCAGAGGAGGGAGTGAGTTCCAACCAGTCGGACCTTTGTCTGTTATCGTGTTCTCATTATAATCCACATTTAGAAGACATTCATTTCAGGGCATGGAGGTGGGCACCTGTAATCCTAATCTCGAGGAGACTGAGGCAAGAGGATCATGAATTTGAGGGCAGTCTGGGCTCCATAGTGAGGCCAGCTTAATGACATAGTAAGACTCTACCTCAAAAAACAAGCAGGAAGACATGAATTTATATCAGGACATCGCTTCCTTACTCCTGTGTCTGATGGAGAAGGAATACATGTTGAGTATGAGATTTCTCCTTGGAGACAGACGGTCGTAGTTCTTTAACTCAGCACTTGGGTGGGACAAGCCTCAGTCCTAACAATGAATAGGTCCCCATCACAGGTGGAGCCCGTTCTGCGGGGGTAAAGCATTTACCCACTGATCTTCCTCCTAAGCAGCCTTCTGTCTTCTCCGTGTGTCCCTGGCGCAGGAGGTGGAAAACCTGTTCATGATCCTGGCAGGGATTCTGCACCTCGGGGACATCCGCTTCACCGCACTCACCGACGCAGACTGGGCCTTCGTGTCTGACCTCCAGCTCCTGGAGCAAGGTCAGGGCGTGGGTGCCACCTGGATGCCGGCTCCTCTGCAAACGGCCAGTAGATGGAGACACAGCCCAGAAAGCCCACTGTCCTCTGGAGGATTCCAGCAGGGGCTGGAATGGCTCTGGCTTTCTTCTCTGGCCTGGGCTGTGGGAGTGATCAGCAGGAAGAGCGCCTATGCTCTCCTTCTGCCACCACCTTCCAGCTATCATCCTCTGTGCCCACTCAGGCTCCTCTTGGAGGGTCCTGGAGTTCTCTATGCCGCCCGCCCAGAGTATCTGGGGGGGAATGCTATTAGCTAAACATGTTTCAAAGACATAACACCAAGCCCTTCCTGCAAAGGTCTTGCTGGAAATCTCCCTGTTCTTAAAATTGCCTTCCTAGTCACTTTCAGTTGCCTTCAAAGGCTCCCCAAACGACGGCTTGTCATTGCACAGCCTGTGCTCACTCGTATCACAGTGACTTACGGATCTGGAAAACCCTTGGAGGCACTGTCTGTGGGGTGAAGGGGAATGAACCCCTCATGCTGACCCTCTCTTCCTGCTGGTTCTGCCCAGCAGGGGGGCAGCCTTCTCAGCATGCGGGGGGCCCGGGGTCACTGTGGACTGCAATGTCCTCTGCAATGTCCCTCACAGCCAGACCTGACACTCACTCTGTGTTCCTCCTGTTGCTCTTATTTCAGTGGCGGGGATGTTGCAGGTTTCAACAGATGAGCTGGCTTCGGCCTTAACAACTGACATTCAGTATTTTAAAGGTGAGTTTTTCTGTGTGTGATGTTTGCCAGTGTATGGCTTCTGGTCCACTTTCACATACAGAGACCAGATCTATTTCTGCCTGTCCCTGCTCAGTGGAGCTATTTCCACGAACTGAGGGCCAGCGTAGAGAAGTGTTAGGAGCATTTATCCCTGGTCAGGGCTCTGGATCCTGAACCCCTGAGCGCGCTGTTACAAGCAGCTCAGCCTTCCCAGAGAATCTGTCTCTCAACAAAACAAACCACCGCCCTGACGGAGGCCGTGTCCCCACCACAGGTGCCCCCGCACGGGTGCCGGGTGGCGCTGTCCTGGTCAGTGCCCGCAGCCACCCTCCATCCAGTTGCTCAGAATAACAGCTCTCTTTGTCAGGTATTCAGGAAAGGGTGGTGCTGTGCCCGGCGCACTGAATGCTGTCAGTTTTGTTCTTTTGCAAATCTTTACGAGGTGGGCACCACATTGCCATTTTAATGATGAGAAAACTGAGCGTCACAGAGGCAAGCAAAGTCTGAGCCCACAGCGTGGCCCACTGGCCTGCTGGACCAGAGTGCAAGGCCGCGCCGCGCGAGTCCCCCTCGCCAAGCTGGTTACTGCCTCTGCCCTTTGTGTGAGGGGCGGGCGTCCGCCAGGCCCTTCAGTTCACTGTGACTCACCCCCACCAGCCTTCCTGTGGCTGTAATTGTGAGGGCTGCAATCTACCCAGGGCCCCTTCCTCCTCTCCCCTCCTCTGACCGCCCCTTCCTCCTATTTCTCTTCCTCCTCCTCTTTATCTTCTTTGCTTTACCCTTCCTCTTTGCTTCCTTCTTTACGTTTGCGCAAAGCTACATCCCCAGCCCTTCTAAATTTCCTTTTTTTAATTTCAAGAGAGGGTCTCCCTAACTCACCTAGGCTGGGCTTGAACCTGCAGTCCTCCTGCCTCTGCCTCGGCCATGCTCCTGGCACGGTATTTTCTCTGACTCACTGCAGGTGTCAGGCTGCACAGCGGGAGGTGTCATTCCAGCCCTGAACTCAGAGCCTGGCGAGTTTCCTGTAAGCACTCGCTGCTCCCCAGTGACTGCCAAGCTCTCTTCCCATTTCTCTCCGAATTCACCGTTCTCCTTTGTGCCTGGAGAATGACAGAACTTCCATTGTCATCTATATATCCTGCTTCCCATTCCTGGGACCAATCCTGCCATGCTGGTGACTGGTCCAGTCAGCCAGCCGCTCCTGCTGCCATCTGTGACACCCCTTCAACCACCTTGGCCCCCTGTCCTTCCTGAGTCGCTTCTCCCACCTCTTCTCCTCCACAAGTCTTCTGGTTCAGGGCTTCAGTGTCTCTCCCTTAGGCGTTGACAGTGACACAGCACCTTCTCCCCAGGGCACAGTCTTGCTCCCTAGCTCCAGCCCTGCACACCCATTGAGCAGAGCAGGGTTCCCACTGTGGCCACATCTGCAGCCACACAGGCTCCAGATAGCTAGGAAGGACTCAGTATGCAAATCACTGAGCGGCTGTTGGAAAGCTCGGTCAGGGCTTCCTGGAGAGGGCTACTTTAGGGGAGAAAATTACTCAGCCCACCCCACCGAGAAGTCCACAGCTGCACTGAAGGTCCACGGCCCTCAGAGCTCAGAGACCAACAGAGACCTCACTTAGCGTTAGAATATCAGGACCACTTCTAACGTCCTTGGGCAGACCTGGACGTGGGGGCAATAAAAGGCCGTGCGCGGTTGGGCTGCTTCTAAATCACGTGTCCTAAACTCTTCCCCTTTGCACTATCCAGGGGACTTGATAGTCCGGCGCCACACCGTGCAGGTCGCTGAGTTCTACCGCGACCTGTTGGCCAAGGCCCTGTACAGCCGCCTGTTTGGCTTTCTGGTGAATGCGGTGAACTGCTGTCTGCACAGCCAAGAGGAGGACGCCAGGTAGGAGCGGGGGCAGTGTGGCCCCGGACACGGGGGCTCGGCTCTCAAAGCTGCTTCTAGCTGCAGGGTGGGTGTGAAACTCAGAGGTGCTGAGTGCTGTGTCTCTAGACACTGGAAGGTTGAGCCAGATCCTTTAGAAATTTGAGCCTCTCCTCCCGCTCCCATCCCACCCACAGGGGTGAGCAGGCTAAACTGAGGTGCATGTGCAGATGGCAGGGGGTTGTCCAGGAGCGGGGTCTAGATGGATGCATGTACACCTGGAAGTGTAAAAGGTCTATGACTCTTTTTTTTTTAAACACTTTTTTTTTTCTTTTTTTATCGGTACGGGGATCGAACTCACGACTGCCTGCTTGCAAATCCCCAGCCCTAGGTCTGTGACTCTTAGAGAAGGCAGTCTGAGGATATCGGAATCTCTGGAGAGAGCCCGAGTCTCTCTCAGAACCCACGGATGAGCTGTGTGAATCTGCCCTTGTCTTGTTCCTCCACTTATTTTGTGGGTTATTTGGCAAAGGGTCTCTGTGGTCATCATGTGGCTCCTACCCTTAATCATTGTTAAGGGGCAGATTTTTCAAGGCTATTTGATCACCTGAAAATGACACATTCCCTGGCAACTCCTCAGTGGCAAATTTTGTTGCTATTCTAGTCACTAATAATGACCTGGAGCACAGGACTGAAAGCAAAATTGCGTCCTAGAGTCTCCACACAGGCTTGTCTCTGAGTGAAACCTTCTGAGAATTTCTTTGTTTTCTTTGTAGAAGTCTTTACCAAATTCCTGAAAAATGCTGCCTTTAGATGTTTCTTGGAAAACATTAACTCTAGCATGTATTACTGGGCAGGTCCTTAAATAAACACAGACTCCTCAGAAGAGCTCAAGGACAAAGGAATACCAAACACTTATGAAAATCTACACCTAAAACCCGGCTGCACTGGTCACCACATTCAATACCCCCCTGGTAGCCAGGGTAGTTACAGTGTAATCTGGATTCCAGGGAGATTCCTTAGTTTTTGGTAAGATCAGGACTGTGAATTTCATCTTCACTGTATTCTTCTGTGATCAGTTAATTTTCAGTTTTCCTCTCAATATTATGATTATTCATAGAAGACACTAACATGCAAAATTTATTCAAATAACCTTGTGTAAAGTGATTAGCACCCTTGCTGCCGGTGACGTTGAAAACTTAGTACGTAATTAATATATAAATCAGGCTGTACCTAGAAGCGTTTAGAAAATCTCGCTTTGACATTTAAGTCTTACAGAAGCTTGAATGTGTAATTGGAAAGATGCGTGTGTGATCTAGGTTCCTGACTATATGCACACGCGTGCAGACACATATACGCAGTGCAAACATCAACAGGGAAAAAGCCTGGTTTCCCTTTCTATTAGGATACTGCCACTATGCTGATGTGTAAATTTATGATTTATCCATGTATTTTTTCAGTGGGTGAGTGAAGGCAGAAGTTAGTGGGGAAATAGAAGTGAATTAATACAGTATGAGGTTCAATTTCTGAGAGATGGTGTAATCATTTAAGTCATAGTTTCAGTTTTCCCTCTATTTCTTTCATGGGACATCCCACTTCAGTCACCCCCCCGCCCCCAAAGAATGGAGTGAGGGCCGGGGATCTAGCTCAGTGGCTCAAGCACTTACCTGGCAAATGTAAGGTCTTAGTTCGAGCCCTGGTGTCACAATAAAAGAGGAATGAAACTTTCTATTTGCAGTATTTCTAACTTATGGAAATTCATGGAAAGCTTAAGGTTTTGCAGAGTTATAAGCCCTTTTACTAAATCACATAAAGGTCTCCAAAAACTGGGTAACCTTAGAATAGATTTTTGCTGTCAGTCCCCAATTTTTAAAAAAAAAATTTTGATCATGTCATAAAAACTATAAATTAATAACAAATGCACAGGAGACCACTGCGCTCTCTCTCTCCAGATCCCTAGCAGATTTCTTTCCACCTGGAAACCCCGGCTCACAGTACAGCTGAGGTTTGGTGGCCGGTTAGTTAGGCTGAGCTGTGTGTCACAGATGTGGCTTAGAGCTTAGTGTGAAAGAGTGTGCACACAGCCCCGTTGAAGGTCGCTTCGACTTTCACGTCTGTGGTTTTTGTTTTTTCAGATGTGGTTTTGCGAAGCTGTTGAATTCACGGTCCTTGTGCCTCAGCCTCCCTGAGTGCCGGGATTATGGCCGTGTGCCTCCAAGCCCAGCTGAGAGACTATGTTCAAGTGGTAAATGACCACTTTTAGAAATGCTGCTTTTTCAAAACTACCCTTTCCATTGGAATGTCACTGTCTTACAGCCCACAGTGGCAGTGCAGTCTCCCCTCAGTCATCCAGCACACTAGCCTCAGCAGCAACTGAGGCTCAGGTGTCTGCCTCCAACAGGTCCCCTCCAGGCCTCTGCTGTGCCCTTCCTTCCCCCTCACCTTCCCTCGCTCCTGCGAGGTTGGGGACAGCTGGCTGCACCCGGATGCTTCTCAGCTTCTCAGCCCGTTGACCAACCAGGCAAGTGGAAATAGCATCTCAGGAGTTAAGGGTCACTGCGGAAACCGTAAGCAACTTGCTTCCCCAGTGTGGAGAGACTGACTTCCCCACAGGGTCCTCATGAGGAACAGAGGCCATCACTTGCTGTCCAGAGCCCAGGCAAAGCTGCCCCCAGCTCTCCTGTTGGGCTCCCTCCTGGACAGTGGGGAAATAAGTGGCTCTTCCCAGGGTGGGACTGTTACACATCCTGGCACTTCCCCATGGGCAGAGGGTCACTGATGTGGGGGACAATCCCCTGCACCTGGCAGGGAACTCCTGCAGCTGTGGACAGAAAGAGGCAGGGACAGGCAGGCTCCAGGGCCCTGGCCTGGCTTCCTTGTGTGTCTGACAAGAGTGGATGTGAGCCTGGCTGGTCAGAGATACCCGGGAGGCTCTGTGCTCTATCGAGAACTTGCTGTCCACGGCCACTGCCTCCTTGACACTCAGCATTTAAACCAGATTTTAAATCACATTGGGTAATTTCTAAAGAGAAGCTTGTACAGTTGGGTCCAATATGTTCAGGTCTGTTTAGCTGTGACACCTCTGATTGTCTGCGGACACCCAGGAACCACATAGGAAGAAGCAAGTCTTTATTTCAACTCCACAGATACCCTGCACAGTGTAAAGGGTGCACATGAGTCTTCGGGGTGCCAGGGCAGAATTTGTGTCTATTGTCCCACTAAAGGCTTGTGTGGTCATAGAGGTTTTGTGGAGGTGGCCGAATCTAGAGTGTGAGACTGATTCACAGTGCAATGCCGGGATGAAGGGTGGGTAACTGCTGGGTCATCCACTGACCGGATGGGCACGGGCCTCGCCCTGGTAGGCTGAATACCATACAAGAGACAGAAAGTGGCTGGTCTTGTCCTCTCTTGTTGCTTTTGCTGCTGTCACTGCGAACTGTTGCTCCTCTGCCATGCTCCACCCTGCCTTGGAACCAGGCAGCGACGGACTGAAATGTCTGCAAACTATGGGCTAAATAAACTTTTCCCCCTTTAATTTTGGGTGTTAGGTATTTTGCTTTGGAGATAAGAACAGTAACTAAGACACTGTAGCTTCACAAGCAAAGGATGGGGCTTGGGAGGTGGGACCTTGTGTTGTATTCTTTTCACCGCCCTGGCTTTTAAATCCAAACATGGGATTCATCTCAGGCAGCACCATCTCCCTGGGTGTCACAGCTCCATTCGAGCCCTGGGAATTGCACTGGTAGCTGGGGTCCTTACTACCCTAAGTTCGCACATTTGAAGAGGAAACAGTAGAATCCCACAGCTTCCTGCATAAACCTGCCTTCGCTGTTACAGCCAATCCAATGCTGAGAGCTATGGGCTTGACAACCCCATGTACCTGTAGGTCTGGAATAATTTAATTCTGGGGTTGAAATTTCATGCTATAAGTGTCATCAAGCCGTGCATAGTTGTACTTATCTGTGATCCCACACTGGGAGGCTGAGGCAGGAGAAGCGCTGCTAGTTTGAGGCCAGCCTGGACTATATTACGGGTTCAAATTTAGCCTGAACCATACAGTAAGACCCTATCTTAAAAAAACAAAACAAAACAATAAAACAAAGCGCGTCATCTTAAGAGTAAACCCTGTAAGACATACTGTGGAGATCTTTCTTAATGCCTCTCTCTACTCTTTCATGGAACATTTTGCCTTGTGGTTGTAGAAATCGTTTTCCCTTGGTGACTCTGATTACCCGGTTTAAGGTAATGTTCAGATGGAAGCTTGTTGGCACAGTGCTGCACACTGTAATCCCAGCTGCTAGAGGCAGAGACAGGAGGATCTCTAGTTGGAGCCATCCAGGGTAATTTAGCAAGCTCCTGTCTCAAATGTAAGATCAGAAGAGTGGAGAGGACATAGCTCAGAGGTAGAGCCCTTGTCCAACTTGTATGAGGCTTTGAGTTCCCAGTACTGGAAGGAGAAAGGAAAAAAGAAAAAAAGCAAAGGTCCATATTTAAGTATGATTATTCTTTTGCCTAGTAAGCTTGCAAACACTTGCCAAGATGGCTGAGGAGATAGATTAAGATTGTCTTTGGCCAGATGAAGCAGCATTTTGATAACATTGCGGTATTCCCAGGGACTCCTCTGTCTCACTGCTGTATTGTGCAGTGGTGGACAGCTGCACCCGCAGCCCTTGCAAGGTGGGGCTGCACCACTGCTTGCTGTGAGGCTCTGTGCAGCCTCACTGCAGCTCTGCAGCCTCATGAAATGCATGGTACAGTGCCGCCCCCCCCCAGCCTTCCTGGTGGCTCACTGAGGGTGTGATGGCCTCCTGGCCCCCAGGAGCTGCAGCAGGTTTGGGGTTTCTGCTTAATTTTCAGCAAATCTGGGTTCTGTAAGTTCTCAGATGCCCACGGCGTGAGGACAGATCTCTGAGGCCACAGACTTCCTCCTGCTCCCATGGTGCAGTGCGAGTGGGCCACAGAGACACAGGGCTTACTGAGTTGTAGATACTTGAGGCTTTCCTGGGCACCGGCCGGCGAGA